AAAAAAAAAAATTTCTTTCCTTCCAAAGAAAAACCTCTTCTTATAGAAGTATCATTAGCACTACTGCCAGACGACTTCAACTCGTCACGCTCTAAAACTCGACGCTTCCTAGGTGCATTAGCTTGCCCCTCATTAGCTATCAACTTCGAAGACGGTGCGTCTATAGCAGATCGTCCAAAACCCTGAATTAATACTGCTAATGAAACAATCATTGAGCCATTTCCTATAAAAAAATACTAAAGGAATGTAAAAAATCACTCACTTCATAATCAGAAAATGATCTAATGTAGCTAAAAACAACTAATCAAACTGTAGCACCTTGTCAGACATGAAACTGAATCCTTCATTAACAAAAGAGCGAAGTAGCACATCGCAATTTGCAAAAGTGTGCCCAAAGTATTCACACATTAGCATCCAGTCACCCTTGCTGCGACATTCATCTAAAACGGCACCGACCCTAGCTTCGCTAAGTTCTTCCAAACGACTTACGATTGTAGGGGGTTTGGCAGGTTCTCTTGCTTCTGAATAACCCTATATGACATCAGAAAAAAACAAAGCATTTATGTAAACATTGGACATTAAATATAGATACAACTGAAAGAACATTATCCCACCTAACAATTAAAACTGAAATTTGAAGAACTACGGTTAGCATTTGAATACAATTTAACTTCGCGAATAACTGTGAAGAACTAACAAAATTACAGATTACCAAAAAATGAAAGCAAAGGACTTTGAGGATCAACTGAACCTACCGGTAAGAGAGACACAGAGTGCAGCATGTGATCTCAAGCATTCAAGAGCGCGAGCAGCAGCCTCATCATTTGACAACTTTCCGAACTTCCCAGAAGAAGCACAGTTTTCATTGCAACATGAAGGTCGTCCACATCCTTCCAACAACTAAAACATTAAGATCTACTGCTGGGTCCCAAAGTCAAAGAAAGCTTGAGAAGTTAGATTTAATGAAAATTTTTTATGTAAAATCCCTATCTTCTACATCCTAAAAGTGCTGGAATAGATGAAGCATAATGGAACCGAACTTCACTTTATAGTAATAGTTCTGGGCTTGATAAAAACGATTTTAAACAGTTATCCACAAACTTCATCACTTCGGACTTTTGCTATAACTTTTCCAATCTTTTACAGCTCGAAGAAAAACTAAAGTCTGGAATTTAAACCTGATGAAACATTGCTCTAACTCAACCAAGGCTTCTGAACCACAAATATTACGGGGCAGTTTTTTCAAGAAAAACTTTTCTTGACTCTGTTGTGTAAAGAAAATTTTATCCAAATCCATGAATTCCTTCCAGAAAAATCACTGTAAAGTTTTCCGTTTCAAAAGCACAGAAGAATCAATGAAAACGTTTGTTTCTTACCTTACCACTCTTGAACATCCTAAAACGTATCTGCTCTAAAGTTTCTCAAATAAATCACAATATCAATGATATTCACGGCAAAAGCACCTTTACTATCCAAGTACAATGTCTTATCGACTAAGTAGACAACTACTTTTTTACAGTTCTGTTGGCAGTTTAAGCAAATTTAATAACTTTACAAGACAACCAAGTAGTCAAAGGGGGACGGCTGCCAACAGCCAACCATAAATGTGCTCCATTATTTGAAACCCCAGTTAGTACCATTAACAATTCACTCACTTCCACATCTTCCTAGTGATTTACAATAAGCAAGTTTCAAAGCCAATGGATCTATGATTAAAACTTCCAAATATTTTGCTATCACCTCCTGCTTTTCCAATGTGCTCTCTTAAAATAACTTTCAAAAAATTCCCAAAAACTCGCTTTAACGGAATACCTTTCCAGTGCAAAAGTTTGAACAAAAAAAACTTAACGAATAAGTAAGTTAATGAGAAAAGCCAACAAAATAATATGTCTACAATCGGCTAAAACCTCTTTCGGAATTCGTTCTCTAACCTCAGCATAAGTCTATAAAAGGATCACGGTCCTTTTGTACCACTAACGCTTGCAAATACGTTCAGCAACCTCATCATTTTACTAGCGATAATGACTTTAGAAAATAAATCCTCCCATATGAGGAGAAAGTGACTGTGAAAACAAAAGTTAACACTTTCCAAAATACCATTTTGAAAAAATATCTTTCCATTTATGCAATAGATGTCCAGCAGTTGAAAAACTGAATGAATCATCGACGTAAGAATTCTTCCATGCTTTAAAAAACTCAAAAATTCAGAAAAAATGCATGCTTTTTACTCCCACCCAGTAAAAAGTTGCGAGCGCAACAAAGCTGTAAGTTGAAAGCCAAATGCCACTAGTTTTAAAAAATTAAGCATTGCAGCAATTAAAACTTTGTAATCCCATTAACTTGAGCAAAAAAACCTTCCCTCGTTTTCATGAATCTTTTCATAAAATTTTTTCAGTAATACAGCCAAACAGAGTTCAAGTTGCTGTCAAAGCAGCTGATGCCACACGCTTTACATAATCCTGAATTTAAAAAATAACAGCCGCTCCAAAAATTTACTTCCTCATTTCCACCTTAGATACCCAAAAAATCGACTAACAACTCTTTGCACTGAATAACGGTGTACTTCTTTTTGAAATTTTCCTAATGTCTCAACTTTTTCTGCTATGCCAATCTTCCGCACTTATCAAAATGAAGTCCGCTATCTTCGGCTCACAGTGCAAAAGCAGTTATGGATATCTGAATAAACTAAGTCATTCTTCCGCTGCACTAAACAAACAGGAAAAAATTTGTTAAATAAATGAAAAAACTCAAAATGTAACACTTGTAGACTGTTCCCAGAAACAGATATAAACAATTATGCATGCACAGAAAAGTTCTGCTTATAAAAGTTAATTCTTGTCTAGTTAAAAAAGTCTTCTTATATAAATGAAGAATACATATTCACAAACCTGTTTATAATACCTTTCTATAGCAAACTTTATTGTTCTCGGAATTTTATTTCGTCCAACTTTTTCCTCACCACGCGCTTTCTCCATGTTTCTAAAAATTTTAACTCTGGCATTTTTAAATAAGCCGGAAAAAAAGATAATGAAAACGAATATGACCGCAACACAAGTAAAATATTCAACACCACACTTTTACAACTAATTGGAATCCTACAACTCGAAAGAGCCAAAAAGTTATCGCATACTGGATTTAAATCTTTTTCCTTTTGCGGACAATATAAATCTGAGTGTACAACCAGATGTATTGGCCAAGGCATGGCATAACGATCTTGAAACTCGTTTTATACTGCAAATCTGTTTGCATAAATACTACTCCCCTTTGTTTTCTTTTTTTTTTCCACCAAATCAACTGCATAATGATTTGTAATCAGCGCAGAAATGTCAGAATCAATCGTTTATAAGTCAGTGATAATTTTAAGCCATTATATGTTATCTATGAGGGTTGTTCTTACGCTAATAACATCAACAAAACGATGCACAACAACCTTCCATTTCGTCTATTTTTTAACTCCATTTTATGGTCTCCGCCTCCTATACGACACCCGATAAATCAACTGATGAAAATGCACAATTAAGGCAGACTATAATGCCTTTTAAAATCCTACAACCAAACATGAGAAATCAAATTAAACTGAAAGTAAGCTTAACTCCTATCTTATTCCTCTTCTTCCTCTTCCTCTTACCCCCCCCCCTTCCCCCATAAAAAATCACTTACCATTACGGCCAATCTATGACGCTATGAAATTTTCATTATTTTACATGATACTACAAATACACAAATCATTTCGCCGTTAGGTTTCGTTAAAACCTCAACCGGAACCAACTACCCA